GTGTGTGTGTGTGTGTGTGTGTGTGTGTGAGAGAGAGAGAAAGAGAGAGTAGGTTTGTTTCAACAGCTGTACCGTGTGGAGGAAGTAGACAAGCAAGGGAGACATTTAGTTTAACGTCTGTCATTTTAAAGAGGAAGACTCGCTGACACATGGAGAGAAGGTGAAAGCAGTTAAACCGTTACCTCCCTAATTCTGGACTGGACACAAGCCGTTATTCACTTTTATATGTACTGGCACCTACAGATATGATCTGTTCTCTGGTTGTTTTGTCTGCAACACATAAGGAAGGTTTTAGACCTTGGTTCAGCTACTAAACGTCACTGAATGTTTACTTCTGAGGAATGAGATCCTGAGAAGATGGAAGGGTTAAAGATCTTACACAATTCAAAACTTGAGAGCTTTTCTTTTAATTCAAACATTGCTCACTTTAAAATTTCTTGTCTTTTATGTTAGGTTAAATAGAAAAGCTATGAAACAAACCTAGTCCTAATTAGGTTTAGGCACTATAACTTCTGAGAAAAGTGTCTGCTTTTTAATTTAATCAAGCTTATTGGAAAATTACACTTTAATTGACAGGTTTTGCATTTATCATTTAATATTGAAATTAAATACTCTTAAGAGTTTTTACCTGTGATGCAATAGGATTCTGGAGAAACTGTGATTTATTAAGGCACTAAAGAGAGCATTTTCCTACACTGGTTTGGTCTGCTTTGCTCTCCTAACTGATGAAAGTGGCRTGGGTTTAAATGACAAACTTTAAATGGTTTGTTTGGGTGTATTTGTGTTGTAAGCTTTCAGTACAGGAATCTCAGTAAGCTGTGTGATTCTGCTGTCAGGTTACCACACACAAAAATGATGTCTTTGAAGAAAGAACCTGTTTTTCAATGTGCACGTGTTTGTGTGTGTATGTACATGTTTTTGCTACCTGGTGGGGATGATTTTTGGGCATTTTCCTGGTACACACAGCCTGGTGAGGACCCACTGTTCCTTATGGGGACAAAAGCCCAATCCCCATGGGCAGAGATACCGTTTGTGGATCARGGGTTCGGTTTAGGACTAAGGTGTGAAATTAACCTGTAAGATTAGGTTTAGAGTATGAAGTCAGGGTTAGGATATAGAAATGRCCAGTAAATGAATTGAAGTCAATGCAAAGTCCCCACAAGGAGAGAAGACCAAACAWGYGTGTGTGTAGATTGGGAAGAGAAGGCCCAGTTGTTATAATCACTCTTCACCATGGCYTCAAATTAACTGAGGACCCACTACCATCCACTTACCGTAAGTTATCGACCTTCCGTCGACACTTTTGTTTTACAAGACTTTATTCTTGGATAGATTTTGGATAGATCTTGGTGTTGACTCATGTAGTTCTTATTTGCTGCTGAATGTTCAAATATTTATTTTTYAGTTATGTTTAGCTGTAACGTCTATGCTAACAAGTAAATTCATGTGTYAACACGGTAGCTCAAAGCATCTCTCAACAACGGGGGACACTTYGACCATCTTTTTTATGTTGATTAGYCCAACTAAGRTGTGATTTGCAATATTGTGATGTGGTTGAACTCACTTTTTATACATACAGGTGATGGAGATTAAGTGTAGTTTGAATTTAAGTGGGAAAAAAGTTGTCATTTTAGTTTATATATTTCTGGGTAATTGGCTGAATTAGTTTTATTATGACAAAACAATCAGACCACTTTAGAAACATGTCATATTGTGTTTATGTTTTGATAATTATCAGATCTTTTTACAAGTTTCCTTTAGTGAATGTGAGACTTTGCCTGGAGCAAGGTTTTTCAATTACAAGCTGTTTGATTCATGTTTACTGTGCACTGACTGTTGCTGTAAGTGTTTTTTTTTTTTTTTTTTTAGTTTGCTACATTGAGCGTGTGGCCAAAGTTTGTTTTTCTGTTAGGAGTGAAGTTCAGGGTCATTGGAAAATACCTTCCATACCGAGAAGAGCGGAGCTACCCTCGCTGTGAGGGTAGACATTTTTAAACCAATTCTTGTTTTGTAGCGTAGTAGAAACACTTACAGCAACAACTCTCATCCCTCACTGACCTAACACACACTTGTCAAAAATTGGGTGTAAGCTCAAACCATTCGCAGCTGTTTTGTGTGAGTCGGTGTGTGTGTATGTGTGTGTGTGTGCGTGTGTGTGTGTGTGTGTGTGTGTGTTTGTGTGTGTGTGTGTGTGTGTGCATTCCATGTTCATGAGGGTAACCATCTGCTTTGGCATCTATCTATGTTATTTTGAATTAATTCACAGCAATTACACACAAATATTTTCTTTTGTAAAATGCCAAATGTGTTGCTGCTACTGATTTGTGTATGTGTGTGAGTGCTTGTTTTTGCTACACAGTGAGGATCTTCATATGTTTTTAACCAACTAAGCGAGGACATTTTTGGAAATTATGACAATTTCCCGGCCCTCACTTTTTTACAGCTCTACTGTACTCTACTAGTTAGGTTTAGAGGTATGGTGTGAATTAAGTTTTGGTTCAAGTTAGTGTTAGGACTAGACAAATAATGGTTGGTTTTAGGAAAAATGTCTGAGTTAGGCATAAATGCAGTTACAAAAATGAATGGAAGTCAATATAAAGTCCTCATTTTGATGTAAGTACAAGGATGTGTGTGTGTGTAATTTTGTCAGTGAGCCAGAGTTGTGTTTCCATGATGAATCTGACATAGCCTTGAGCTATAAAAAAACCTCAACAGTAAATTAAGATGTGTCCTCCCAGCGTCACTGCTCAGTTTGTCTCTTCTCTTAACACCCCTAATACCTTTGGGTCAAAATGACCGTTTGACAAAATCAGACTGTTTATTTAATTTCCATCAAAGTTAGTCACCTGTTGAGATGTGCAGAAAACTAAACAGTCTGTTTAAAAGAATCACATGAAAATGAAATGTAAAATTCCCTAAATTGCTAATTATTTATGTAGCTAATATTCTTACATAGATCTAGATGCAGGATGTCCTTGCTGCTTTGAACGGTTTTAAAATTGCTCCTGTCCACGGACAAACTGAGAACACTTTGTAAAATGAAGTTTTTTCCAACCTCCCATATGACACAAGTAATATTTGCTGAAGAAACCAAAACAACAATAAAGCAGTTTTAAATATTATGGCAGTATTTTTTTTAAAATAAACTACATATGACCTCAATTTAATAAATTCGATTAAATTCTTACGTATCCTTTGGTTATTGGTGTCCCACCATATACCAGTGGCCTGCATTTGGCCACTTCTTTGAAAATACTCTAGAGAAAAAAAAATAAAATACTCTAGAGGCGGCCCTGCTGGAGTATTGTATTGGAAAAAAAGGATTTGAGTTCTTACTTGTACAATAAAAATGGAAATCAARTGGTATTAGTTACAATTTTAAATTGTTTGACTTTAAGTGACTGGTGACTCAGGCCAAAGATTTTTTAATTTATCCAAAAGAATTTGTCTAAAAGGTTTTAATAAATATGTTAAAATACCCACTTCATACCATATTACTAATACATATATCCATCCATCCATCCATTTTCTTCCGCCTATCCGGGGTCGGGTCGCGGAGGCAGCAGCTTCAGAAGGGAGGCCCAGACCTCCCTCTCCCCAGCCACTTCTTCCAGCTCCTCCGGGGGAACTCCAAGGCGTTCCCAGGCCAGCCGAGAGATTATATTTCTTGTAATTATCCTCTGATTCTTTTGTTCTCAATTTTAAGAAACAGGAATACAAGTAATTCTTTTTTTTACAAGCATTCCTT